TTAATGACATTGCAATATAAATATTTAAATGACTATTACTTTAAAATTATAAAAAACATTTATTCCTATTTAATATTGTTAAATAATGTATTATATTTTACAACCTTTACTTATTTATCTGAAACATTCATGACACGAGAGAGAGAGAGAGAGAGAGAGAGAGAGAGGTCGCTAACTTCTCTCTAATTTCTCACCTCCCTTCATCCCATGTTTCTGTATCAACATGCTTTCCTCTTCCTCCTCCTCCTCGACCTACGCGTCCACCGCTACCACCACCGCCACCTCATTTTTCCAGGAATCGGTTAATTACTAATCACTGTTTTCTTTTACTACTGGTTTACACTACAAAGCTGATGATTTCTCCTAATTCCCAATTTTCTTTCTTGTTTTGGAAAATAGTGTCATTACACGAGTGGCGGTTGGTAACTTCGAGAAGGAGTTACAAGGGAAGAGGATTGCTGTTGCCGGCTTCACTTCTCCTGAGTATTTTATTTTTATTTTTATTATATATTATCTTTTATTTCATTGTAAATAAAATTTTTTTAGTTAAAAATTTCAGGGAAAAACCAGTTCGTGTGTTTCACTCTGCAGCAATTACCAAAAAAACACGATGTTTTCACTCTCGAGGCAGCCGATGGCGTCACTGTAATTATCCAAGATTACATTAACAGGAAGCTAACCTCACAGGTTTTTATTCATTTGTTTTATCCCTTATTTTCTTTCGTGTTTATTAATATTATTTGTTTTTTGACATCGTATCATACATCAAGTTTATATTCTGTCCGGTTACACGCTCTAAATAGGTTTTCCGGCATTTCTGTTTTGGCTTTCTTCCTGATAGGGAAGAATGTGCAACAAAGTTTCTGGATAGTAACTGAGAAATGCTAGTTCGCGTATGAGACAATTTGGTTCGTTGCTGTGTATTTTTCTCTTAACATCTTGCCGTTCTGATGAAATTGTAATAAAAATAATTTGGGGACTAATTTACCGTTATCGAAAATTTAGAAAAGTTTTTAACTAATTAGACTTTAATCTATTCCTTATGGAGAAACTCTATACTATATACATAGAAAGAGAGATGTTTCTTTCATTTTTTTCTTCTCTCTCTCTTTAATAAAAATCTCCGTCCTTCCTTCGAGAGTCAATCAGAACTTGAAAAGCTGATGATCTTCCCAAAAAAAGGCTCTCGCAAATAATAATAAATCCCCTGTTAGATCAGGGCAATTGATGCCCAGAGTCGTGGTTACACTGCTCTGGGCTACATAATGGGTTAAAGTCAGAAAACTTTCTTTGCTCTGTCAGGGCAAACTTGAGAAATAGTTTTACATAGAAGAATGCCACCATGTCGTTCACCAACATAGCAGCATGCATTTCCTGCATCTTCGAAACCTGGGAAACAAAAGTGTGCAAGGGAAATGTAATTTGGAGTTACAAACATATTGGCTGCACAGCATATGATATGTCGTTTGAATGATATCTTGGCCAAAAAATAAGCCCAATCTACGAATCTGAATGAGTGATGGTTAAGCTTGGCCCAGTCCATATTCTTATGATATTATAAAAAAAAATTCGAAAGTCGCTAGAAAGTAGAAACAAAGCGATAATGCTAAATCTTATTCAGAATATTTCCTGAAAACAATTTTAGAAAAATCTCTGCAATTGAATTTGAGGGATCCATCCATGAGATTCACTAACAGGGTTGGACTTGCTAGGGGGGCATGTTTTAGTTGAAGGATGGAAACAGATTTTGAACCAGTACGCATCTGAGAAAGATGTCCTAAATTTGATCTACGAGTTTCACAAATTCTAGCTCTGACAAGTGTATGTTTAGTGATTATGTTACAACCAGGTTGCAAAGTAACCCATTTGAAGATTTGCGAAGCTAGGCCCCCTTGAACTGGCCTGTCTGAAGAAAGATTTTTATTCCATGTGGTGCTAAACAAGAATTAAGAAAGCTGAAAATGTTCATAACAGGTTCAGATTATATTTAAAGAAAAAACAGTATTAATTCTGAGAAAAACACCAGGCAAGCCATATATCTCTAGAAATCTATATGTGTCTAGTTTCCGATGCATCAAACGATGCATGATTTAGAGCTATCCACCGAGATTTATGGCCATTTTCCTGACAAATGCGCAGGTTGATGAAAGGAAACAGTAGAACCAAAAATCCTGCTGCCATTTTTTGTAACTTGCAAGCCTACCTCTCTTTGTCAACAGACATTCGATGCAGGATTGACAATATTGCCTCCAACTCACTTACGTGTGAAGAGGCTTCTTAGTCACTAAACACAGCAACATTCTATATAACTAAAAGAAACGTCACTAAACACAGCAACATTCTATATAACTAAAAGAAACGAATCTTTGACGATTCATTTACTGTAGCTCTAGACTTAGTGCGTTGTGGATGACATTTTTGTAATTTTTTTAGATTTTGGTGGATGAAAATTATATAAATTTTTACACTTTGGTTCCTAATATTTTTAAATAAATATTCGATCTACATCTTCATTTGCTAATTCATCTTAGTCCCTAGGTGAAGAGAGAAGGGAGGGAGGAAGAGAGAGATAGGAGGAGAGAGAGATCATCGGCCAAGCTTATTTAGGCCACTTTGGTCATAAAAATCCATTAGATGGTTTTATCTTTGAGAGATGAGTTTGTCCATGATGGTTTCAAGCCATTAAATAATTAGAGGAGGTAGGTTAGAGCCAAAAAAGAAAAAAAATCCGATTTCATTGAGTTTTTTTTTTTTTTTTGTACATTAAAATGATTTTTAAGGTTTTAAATATGTTTATTGACTTTATTTCGGTCATTTAGAGGTATTTGGAGAAAAGGATGATGCCGGAATTGAATTTCTTGAGGTCTTCGACAAAGATTCCGACGACCTTGAGTTCGCGTTGGGGCATAGGCCTATTTTTCTTTTTTTTTTTTTTTTCCTTTTGTTATATATATATATGCATGTTGGGCTGTCTTGGTTGCATTTTTTCTTCTTTTTTTTGTTTTTTCTTTTATATATAAGGAATTAGGTGTGAAAAATATAAAAAATAATTTTTTTTTTTTTTTTTACAAGTATGAAGATGATATAATATATATATGATATATTTTTTTTAGATTTTAATTTGAACATAAATATCTAATTGCATTACTTTTATTTTTTAAAATTTATTTCTTTAATTATTGATTCTTATTAAAATTCTTATCAAATTAATTTTTTGATATAATTTTATTTGTTCATAAATTTAGTTTTTTAATATATGAATTTTGGAATAAAAATTTAGAATATCGTTGTTTTATTTTTTTAAAATATATTATTATAATTTATACAATAAATTCTTTTTTTCTTTTTAAATGAGTGTTTTATTTTTTAAAATATATTATTATAATTTATAAATTTTGTGTGTGTGTGTGTGTGAGAGAGAGAGAGAGAGAGAGCTAAAAGTATGTTTTAGATAGTTTGACTCAATTTTTTTTTAATAATCAATTAAAAGAATTGATAAGTTTTATTTGTTTATATATATATATATATATATACGTAATTTATCGTAACCAATTTTTTTGTAGTTTTTATTTTAATATGTTGACTTTAAAATATATTTCATACAATTTAGATGATTTTTTTGTATATTTTTTAATTTATTCTATATACTCTAAATCTTTTAAGTGTATATGTGTGTGTGTGTGTGTGTGTGTGCGCGTGTGTGTGTGTGCACGTGCGAGCTTGCATCATTAGTTTTGTTAGAAATTATCTATATATTTGCATACATAATATCAATTTTTTATTTTTTATTTTTTCATATTCTATTTTTTTTTCAAATAAAATAAGTTAGATAATGTTTTGAAAGATCCCAATTATTCAAATACAAATTTTTATGTTAATATTATTAAATATTTTGTTAATAAATATATATATAAATCAAACGATTTTGCTCAATATATAGATTCGATTTACATTAATCATCGAAATAAACTTCTACTCATACTAAACTATAAGAATCATTAATTTTATGTATGTAACGATTGTTTGACTTCAGTATAGTACATGTATCTAACTAGTAGGCTAACTAAAGCAAGATGAAAGGAGTGACAGATTTTGTGTTGCAAAGTCTGTCCCTTGGATTTCTTTTCAGCCTAACCTACAATTTTAGCTTGAAGGAAAAAACGTGTCTAGGTGTATATTTCTAGTTTTGTTGTTTTTCTAGCTTTTGGAGGGATTATTCCAAGTATAATTAAGAGTGTTTCATCATTGTAGAGATGGAGAACTTGTTGAAGTTAAAAATCATGGTAAGCTTTTTAGCTTATTTGTAGCCCTGTATCTCTTTGGTGGATTCCATTGAATGGTGGGCCATCCTACACCCTAATTTTTTTTGTGGTGTGACTGTATCAGTGATATTTGGAAGTTAAAATCCTTGTTCTTCCTCTCTAGAGTGGTGTTATCCGTATCTCTAAAGGGTGGGTTTGACTTCATCTATCCTTCATTTATATATCTATCGTCCACACTTTCAATCCCACCATTTATCATATCCATAATTTCCATTGAAATTCCAGCTCCCTCTTCTGCTATCAGATAGAAGGTAGAGAAGCAACGCAAAAGATGGTACAAATAAAGGCAACAATTTGACAAAAATGAAGTTAGGTGAAATTTCAGCCTAAAGTTGCAGTCGTAATCCGGTCCAGAGCTCCAGCCGACTGTGCATTCAATTCAATATTACTTTCTGAAAGTCAAAATTGTAGCTAATTTTTTCATTAAAAATATTTACACCAGTCTGCATTGTCTTAATAAGATCCCATCAGTAGCAGACACATTGTCCCTTAGCTTGCATTTGATTAAAGAGCTGGCAAAAATCTCTTTTTTTGAAAACAATACTTCTGCATTTTTGGGTTTTTTTTTTCTCTAAACAATACTTCTGCATTTATACATTCTTGCTACTAGTTTCCAAATGAATCTAGAAGTGCATTTCCCTACTAATTGTAGTAACGAGTATCTCATCAAGCAGACAAATGATTCTTGGAACTGTGTCCCAAACCTATGTTGTCTACACCTTGTTGAGTCTCATCAGTATCAGCTTGGCAAAGGATATTCCAGCTTTTTACATTTTTGGAGATTCAGGAGTTGATGTTGGAAACAATTTTTACATCAACACTTTCGCAAGACCAGTGTTTCCCAATGGGATTGATTTTGGGAATAAATTTGGCACGCCCTCAGGAAGATACTCAAATGGTAGAGTATATGTCGACCATATAGGTACATTCTCTTCTTCTGTTTCTTATCCTCTAAGATTAAGTTCCTTAAAATGTTGTGTAATTAAAAAATAAATAAAAACAGAGGAAAGTGGTAAAAATTCTGAGTTTAAGATTTCCCAATTTTATATCAACAACAGCACAAGAATTGGGCTTGAAAAACTTTCCTCCTCCCTACTTGGCTCCGACCACTGTTGGAGATATTCTTCTGAAAGGTGTTAGCTATGCTTCTTCCTCAGCTGGAATTTTGAATGCCACTTGATCAAGAGTGGTAAGCTCTCTGTTAGATTAAAAGTAGTAAATTTTGGTTATAGAAAATTTGAACTTGAAGGAGGTCAGTTTTTTCAAGATTTGTTTTCATGCATGAGCTGAAATATACATGTGAATCATCCAAGAAATCTAGACTCATATTAGACAAGGAAAAGTTTTGAAGATGTAGACAATGACAAGAAACCTGCATGTAATTTAAAGGGAGGTCGCATTAGCCTTGAGACTCAAGTCAGGTACTTCGAGAGAACCACGCAAGCCATCATTTCGAATATTGGGATCAAAGCTGCTAAAAAGTTGCTTGCCGGGGCCATCTACATTGTTGCAATTGGTGGGAATGATGTTTCTACCCCGGACCTAAATGGTCCTCTTGATCTTGCATCCCAGGACTTGCGTCTTGATACAATCATTTCAATGTTCCGATCACAACTTGGAGTAAAATCTTCACCTTCTATCAAATTAGTTCGTTTTAGTTGGTTTAATTGACATATCTCTTAGTACAGAATACAAATGTATTTTTTGTCTGCAGAAACTCTACATGCTGGGTGCTAGAAAGATTGTGGTGATAAATTCTTCCCCTGCTGGGTGTCTCCCTTTTGTGAGAGACGTATATGCAATGCCAGATGGGTGTGTTTCTTTTCAAAATCAGATAGCTCAGCTGTATAACAGCAAACTCAAGGGCATGCTTGAGGAGCTTACCAAAAATCTTACAGGATCACAATATGTTTATGCAGACAATTATGCTATGATAGAAGATGTCATTCAAAACTACATCTCATATGGTACGCAATCTGTATCGTTAATCACAAGCTATATTTTACTGCATTTTTCTCAGATTACGTACACATTTTTTTCCCCCAGGTTTTGAAGATGTAAGAAACGCGTGCTGCTATGTTTTCGGAGCTCATGGGGGCATTATCCCATGCTTAACTATTTCCCAAGTTTGCCAGGATAGAATGTTTTCTGGGATCCCTTCCATCTGACTGAAAGTACAAACATTATCATAGCAAAACACCTGATGGATGGTGACTTGAAGTACATGCAACCAATGAATATTCGACAACTCCTAGATGCTTTACCTGTCCTTAGAAATACTGCGAATCCAGAGAGAATGCTAGCATTAAACATTTGCATGCAATAAAGCATAAAGCTATGCATTCCCTTCCATCTTCTTCTTCTTCTTCTTCTTTTTCCTCATTTAAGAGAAATATCCATCCATCTTTGTATAAATTGAATAATGAAAGATTCATCCAAGCTTCTAGTAAAAAATAATAGAACTGCTCTGATAAAGTGACCCAGATTCTCTTAGCAAGTTGTTCAGGTGCAGGTCTGATAGACACATCTGCAGTTTACATTGAAGCACTCACCTGAAACAGCCAAACTTAAATGCGCAAACTAATCATGACTTTAAAACCTATTATGAGGTTGCAAAATCATTTCAGATCCTGATCCCGATAACCACAACAACACATATAGATGCTATAATAGCAAGATTTACTGCTAACGAGAAAACAAAAAATTCAAAATTTCTAGTATTTAAACATTTTGTATGTCATAATATCTGAAAGTCTATCCATTCGGGCTAACAAAAAGGCCATTACGCAGGGGCTCATTAGCTCATCCTAGTAAAGGAAATCTGAATACAATTCTTCCTTCAACAGTATTCTCATTATGTGATTGCTGTCACGCATCAAATTTGCAACTTCTGTTGCATCGAAACATATTTAAATGTTGACTAATCTGACTAACATTGAACAGTTACTAAAAAACATTACAGGAAATAACTTATGCTGGTTAAATTCGCTTTCCTGAGTATTTATGCAATATGAAGAACAAGATTCCATACCGATCCCTAAGTTTATGGTATCTGCAGAATGAAAGCAATAATGGCATAGTTTTATAAGTCAACAATTAAAATGTGTGAGAAATACTGAACGCCATCACACTATGATCGGAAAACCATGTTGTTTCAGGATTCAACTTTCACCTTTTCTAGAAGGATTTCTTACTTATATGCCTTTGGCTCCATAAGCAATGGAGTATATATAACTTTAGCTTCAATGAATTCTCAAACAATCAGACAACAAGGTTTAAATGTCCAGGGTGAGGATCTGTATACTCCTTAAAAGGGCAAACAACATGAGTATTAAAGATTATGTCATGACAAACTTTCACCAATATTTTAGATGGGGCTAATCTTTCAAAGTATTTATTTTTTATTTTTTTATTTTTATTTTTACAACTAAACTTAAAAAAACTATTAGTAAATGCTAATTTATTGATTTTTATAGGATTGGTTAGAAAACTAGGATGAATAACGTAGTAAATTGACTATTAGCATACCAAAGGCAAAGGACAAGTATTTTCTTCAATTCCCATAGAAGCCATGCCATTCATTATCACATCTCCAAGACATTTCATTCGTTTTGCCTTGTTTTTGAACTTTGTTCGCATTCAATTTATAGAAACCGTTATGATAAGTATAATTTATATGCATATTTTATGTAAACTAGGAGGTAGAATTTATTAATTATGTGTGTAATTTATGTTTCATTTGATATAAATTAATTCCCATGTACTTTAAATTTGTAGGTACAAAGAATTAAGAGAAGATTAAAGAAGTAAGGCAAAAACAAAAACTGAAATGAAAATAAAAATTAAAAGCAAGGATTAAAGAATAAAAAGAAAATAATTGTTTGATTTGAACACTTCAAAAAAGCCATTCATCCTATTCTAAAGGGAGACTTACGTGGTGGACTAGAAGAAAAGAGTTATAGGCATGGTAAAAGGAAGAGAAAGGACGACGAGAGAGAGAGAGAGAAATAAAGAAATAGGAAGTTGTACAGGAAAGCTAAAAAAGCCAAAGAAAGTGGATCTGCATGGATTGAGGTAGATTTTGGAATTGCAAGGCACTAAAAAAAGAAGGCTTTTGGACGGCAGATACCTTGGGATGGCAATATAAAAGGCTTAGCACTTGCACTGCAGCGAGGGGGATTGGACGGCCAAAGAAAAGAAGGAAATTGGAGACGGCAGCGAGAAGAAAAAACTATAAAAGCATGCCGATTTATTACACAAATAATTGAATTTTCTTTAATTATTACTCTTGATGGATTATCGATGTGATATTTTATTTTCAAATCCAATAAATTTCTTTATGAAAAGATAAATTCTTAAGTTAGGGATAGATGATTTTAATTCTTATTTCATGTTATTAATTATTTTTCTCAATTCAAAACTTGATTCTTGATGTATGATGAATTTATATTGATGTGTTTAATGCTTTAAGAGATTGATTACCTCATATTGATTTAATGACATATGCTTGAACCCGAGAGGGAATTGTATGTGTTAGATCATAACAATATAAATCGCTAGTTTACTATCAATCGAAAGACAACTAGTTCTAGTGCGATAATGGAAGAGAGAAGTGTGTGATGGCATGCTTATTTGACATTAGAGGATTCTATTGATTCTAATGCATTTAGATCTTAATTTAAGTCACATAGAAATATAGATTATTTGTTAGATGAAGAATATGGTTAATCCGACTAGAGATAGCTTTAACTTGTTTAGGGAATTCCGTCGTCACATATATTAAGATAGACCTTAAGGTGGGTTGTGAGTTGAGTTAATATAGTTAATTGCATAAGTTAAAATTAAATGAATTTATCCATAGCTACTTTCATATCATCTTATTAGTAATTTTGAATTCTACAAATTTAGAATAGAGTTCTAATTTAATTTTTATTCTTTTAATTATTTCGATTAATTCAACTTATTTTAAGTTAGATAATTTTAGTGGTGTAATTTAATTCCTCATAGGAATGATACTTTCTTACCCTTTATTGCATGATTAGATTGGATTTATTGCTTATCTAATTGTGTTAAAAAAGCGACGAACATAAACTCGTGGTTTCGCTTGCACTCGGCTTTTTAACATTGCCTCATGATAGTGTTAAAAAATTAAGCTTTGTTATTAGAACTTCAAGAATTCAACATCCAACTTTATTTTCTTTAAAACTCATCGACATTGTCATCTTTAGACACATCTCACCAAGCATTCAAAGTATACATTTGTTTATCGTGTCTTACCTTATAATTCATGTGGGTTGTCCCTAGAATCGCTCTATTTGCTTCCAAGCTTGTCCATTTTGAAACCTCGGAGGAACTCGACTCGTCATTTCCTTATTCAAGAGAAGCCCAATTTTGATTCAACTCCAATACAAATAAAAAAACACTAGGAATTGCAAAAACAACTTGTAGAAAACCAAGATTATGATAGAAATCAATTATAAAAGTAATGGTTTATATTACAATACAAATAATGAAAATAGTAACTATACACAATTGATGAAACAAAGAAGAAGAATTACGGAGAGAAAGTGTTTCAAGGAAGAAGAACCACAAGACTTAAAGAGAGAAAATAAGAAGAGGTAGGAGAGAAGAAATTTTTTTTCACTTCACAACTAACTTCCTATACTCTCTTACTCTCTTTATTATCTAACAACTTAATTAGCATCCAGCTAATTGCTAACAACTTCACTAATGAATAACGACTTTAGCTCTAATTCCCTTTGTTAGCAAAGGTGCCATATGTCCAATTTACTTAACTAACTCATTGTCATATTGCCGGTTAATATAATTGTCTAGCTTAGCATCCAAGTGTTGCATCAATATCCTTTTCTTAAAAAATATTATCCTCAAAATATTACTCCGGATCAAATGCAAATTCTCCAATGGCCTTGGTAGCTATACCATTGGACTATTGAATAAGAAACTTAGTAATGACTTTATTATCCTTTTGACAATTTTCTCGTCTAAAACAGCCTACTAGAATTGGTGGCACAATCAAGAAAATAGGTAAATCAACCCGCACATTAAGAGGACCCTTAACAAGTTTTGAGTTATGAAAAGTGAAAAGTAGGGTGAATTAAAGAATAAGGAGAAAATTGTAAAGTACAAGCAAACTCTTTAGTTCTGTCTAACCTCAAAAGGCCTAAAGAACCTGAAGAAAGCTCTCGATTCTTCCCGAAAACCACCGACTATTCTTGTAAGACTACGAACTTTAAGTACAACTAGTTCCCAATATGAAACACTCTATCTATGCTTTTTTTATCGACTGGGTCTTTATGTGTTGTTTTGTTTTAGTCAAGTGATGATTAAGCCATATAATGATATTCTCCTTATCTTGTAGAAGCTTATTAACCTTTGGTTCCTTACAATCATTAAAAAAATAGGGTAGGCGAAGGAGAGGAAGATAACCATAAAGAGCTTCAAAAGGAGTTTGCTAATAAAGGTATAGAAAAAAGTGTTGTACTAGAATTAAGCTAAACATAACCATTTATGTAGGCATTAGGAACATCAAATTTCATACACCTCAAATAGGTTTATAAACACATATTAACTACCTCCGATTGCCCATCGGATTAAGGATGATAGGTAGTTGAAAAGTGTAATGAAACTCATTGATAAGCAAATAACTTCCTCTAGAATTTTCTCAAAACACTCGAATCCATATTAGATACAATTGTTTATGGCAACCTATACAATTTATACACATGTTCCATAAATAATTTAGCTACTGAATTTGCGAGAATAAGGATGTGATAGAGCTATAAAATGAGTATATTTAGTTAGCCTATCTACAACTACAAAGGTCGGTAACTTACCTAGGAAGGTTGGTAAACCTTAAAGGAAGTCTATGGTAATGTTAGTGAAGATTGCATGAGGGAGAGGCAATGGATTCAATAACCCTAGAGCTGTCACATTTTTGTATTTATATTTTTGACAAACCTTACAATTTCACACATACTCACGTATATCTTTTGGTAATCCCTTCTAATAGAATAATGCCGCCAATTTCGTTATGGTACCCTTAAACCTAGAGTGTAAACTAGCTCGCTAAGTCATGACATAATGAAATTAGTTCATTGTGTAATCCATTTGTATTGCCAATTACCAACATGCCCCTCGTTCTCAACTATTAGTCTTTCCACACATATTTTGGATGTATGACTCCAAGATTCTACAATTAAGATAGTACAATTGTTAACATGGGATCCGAACTCCAAGAATCTCGAATCCTAGTCATTAGGTCCGTAGAAATAGAGGAGTTAATGATAGTTGCTAATTGTATTCGTGAAAGAGCATTTATATCTATGTTTTTCTTTCTCTTTTTATACACAATTTCATAGTCATAACCCATTAATTTAACTAACCATGTAAATCGACTAAGAGTGTAGATTTACTACTCAAGTAAGTGTTTTAAGTTTTGATCATCCGTCCTAATGATGAAATGTTGATCCCCTAGATATTAATGCCACTTCTTGATGATAAATATAACGGCCAGTAGTTTCTTTTCATAAATGTGT